AGCCAAAAAGTGGTAGCAAGGATCAAGCGCAGAGAAGCAAGGAATTCGCCGGAATGGCACAAGGCATCTGTGAATTGCTATGGATTAAAGCGTATTTTCATGATCTAGGTTATACATCTGTCAACACCTATGAAGTTATTAATCTGACAATAAGGCAGCCATTAGCAATTGCAAATAAATCCAGTTCAACATGACAGAAACCAAACACGTGGAAGTTGAATCGGCACTTCATGCAAAGACCATTTCTTGAACAAAAATACAATTAGTCTTCCGTTTTTGTCACTTCAAAAGATCAACTAGCCATGATATCCTAACAAAGGCTGTATCCGTAAAAAGATTTTCAAAGCTCACTTAACAAGTTGGAATGATGGAACCATAATATTCACCAACTGAGGGGGAGTGTTGGCGTGAGCAAAATCAAGGAGGGAAAGAAAATGTCAAAGCGTTGATGAAATTAGTGGAAATTGTGGCTCAGGCAAATCAAGGAGAGAAAGAAATGTTTCAAGTTTGACAGATTGTGAAGAAAAATCTTACTGGTCAAACTTTGACATGAGCAAAAAATAGTGTTGTCAAACTTTGACAGATTATGAAGAAAAATCTTCGTGCTGTCCAAAACTTTGACAAATTTTTTAAAATCTTTTTGCCTTTTAATTTAAAGAAAATCTGCTGTCAAACTTTGACAAATTTTAAATCTTTGCCTTTAATTTAGGCTGTAAATTAGGATCTAAATTGTACAAAACTAGTATAAATATTTGTAATTGCTGGAAAAGTAATGATAGAGGTGAAACAAAATTGCTCTTAATTATCTTTTCTACAATACCAACCTTATAAAGAGAAATATCATTGTTAAGGTGAAATTCCCGCAATATAGGGACATAGAGTACTAGAGTTAATTGGTTACTTATGATGGAAAATGAGGAAATTGAGTACATTGATGGGTGTGGGGATCATTTGATTATGATGAATAACTTGAATCAGCTTGATGGAGGATCAGTTTCAAGGAGTAACACTTTATTTCCTAAACCTTTTATCCTTCCACCCAGGATTGATGGGACTCAATCCCTATCCCAAGTGTGTTGTAAGTATAGACCTCGAGGAGGAAAATACTGGCGAAATCATAAATTTTCTCGAAAGGATATCCCAGTTTTGATGTCAGGTGGTGTGCAAGATATGGAGGAGTTTGATAAAGAGAATTTTGAAACTCAGTAGGGAGTATCCGTAGTATATTCTTACTAAACTTGTTCCGAGTATATTCTTTTTTTTTTTCTCCTTACACAATTATAATGCTTAGTAATTCCCTATGATGAATCTAATGTTTTGTCTTATTAAGTTGACTTGAGTCGTTTGCAAATTGCCTTACATGTAAGCCCGTGCAATGCTTAACGCTATAATGATAAATTTTGAAAGGCAGTACCATGAGTATCGAGATTCTCCATACTAAATGATTAAACTTTAAGGAGAATACTTGCACAGTTACACTCATTTCATCCCTAGCTAGCTAATCCTTTTTTGTCATTACAATCAAAAGCTTATTGCCTCAGGGACAAAAACCTTAGCCTTCTTACAAATTCTAATTTGGCACAGCTTATAGCAAGTTTATTAAAACTTAATGAGAAAGACCTTTCTATAATAGCAAGTGCATTCCAAGAAGAGGTGTAAATGCAGAAATAATACTTGTATCTTCTCTTTTACCAGTCGGTGTAATTTGTACTTAAATGATTTTCTTTTATTTTTTTTTCTTTCTTAAGTATTGAGGAGAAAATTTGAAATTGAATTTATTATCAGGTCACACGTGCACTTAACCTTAAGTTATTGTCTTAGTGTGCAAGTTATTTCCTTTGGGAAGAAGGAAGAAGTAAAATAAAGGTGCAAAATGAATTGTTCATGTCTATTCAAATTCTCTTCCATAGTCCCATTTAAAGACATAGTCTAGGGCTCTGAACTTCTTTAACTTAACTAATATCTCACGCCTATCTCCCTCTTATCTCACTTGTCTTCTTCCAAATTTCAAATCTCTAATAACATTACAGCTGTAAGTATTATTTTTTTGGTATTTTTATTTTTTTTCTTTTGTTTTGTTATTTATTTGAGTTTTCTTTGTGATTTTTCAATTGCCCAATATTTGTTATGGTTTCTTTGATAAAAATAAAATCAACAAGTAATATATATATATTAAAATCAACAAGTAATATATATATATTTATATATATTTTTTTTTTTTCTTTTTTTGTTTCTTTATTAGACATATATATTTTTTTTTTTTCTTTTTTGTTTCTTTATTAGACAAAAAATAATGAATCATATTACTGTGCATAACTGAATAGTCCGAACCGAATAGGTTCAATTCAGTTTCAGTTTCTATTTCGGTCAGGTTGGTTTGTTATGCTTTTAACTTTGGTTCAGTCGGTTTGAGTTGATTCGGTCCGATTTGAACCGAACCGACGAATGCCCACCTTACCAATCACTTTTACAATGACTGGCGTTCAATTCTGCAGTGTAAAGGGCCTGAGACGCTGCCTGTAGTGGAAGTAAAGTGGACTAAACCAAACATTGGTTGCGCTAAACTTAATGTGGATGCAGCATTGAGTTTGCCTAATCACAGATTTGGAGTTGGCTTTGTGGCTAGAGACTCGCACGACAATTTTTTAGCAGCTAAAAATCTGCAGATCAATGGTTTGTTTTCTGCAAAAGAAGCAGAAGCGATTGGCATCAAGGAGGTCCTTAGTTGGTTGAAGCTACCTGGGTGGAGTCGGGTTATCACTGAATCAGATGCTCACGAAGTGATTCAAGCTCTTTCCAATCCCAACTATTCAGATATTTCTTTTCTTTTATTTTATTTTATTATTGCTGCTTAAAAATCTCTACTGCAAGAGATTAATATTGATGTTCGTTTTAACTTTGTTAAACACTCTGCCAATGTGGTAGCTCATCAATTAGCTAGAGCAAACCTTAAACCCACAAAGTCCCAGTAAGATAAATCCTCTTCATATATTTCCATGTGGAAATTTCCATTAAAATCTTTTTCTAATATCTGTTTGGGAAGAGTGAAATCGAAGGGAGGAAAGAAAATGTGGATGGAAAATATCAAATGAAATTAACTTTCACCTATTTCTGAAACGACGAAAATTTTGAAGGAATTTGGTCTTTATTTTCGTTCCCGACTCACAATTGGAGCGTTTCCAAATCGGAGAGAAAATAAGCAAATGAAAAAGGAAAATTTCACTGTGCAAAGTGAAATTATAGGAATACTTAAATGATCTTGCTCCAAAAATCAGCCCACTTGGTCTTTTATCTCGTTTTGACTCAGAAATCATATAGCACAACACATTAATAGGTGGCCTGGTCTCTTCCAATAAAAAAATTTATGTTTAATTATAAAGTGTATTAATTAAAAAGCAAACTTGAAATCTATATTAATCTATCTATCTATATAAATATAAATATATAAAAACTAAGGTACAAAAGCTTATGCTGTACAATTCTAAAGTATTGAGATGCTTATGTAGCAAAAAGTTAATCCATTAAATTGGAAATAATTTTTATAATTTTCAAAATTATTTTTAATATAATTAATAGGGAACTTAATTAATATCATTAATAATATTTTTTATTTTTTAAATAATTAATTAAATTATTTTTATTTTTTAAAATTAATTCAATTAAATTATAATTAAATTAATAATATTATTAATATTTTGAAATTTTTTACTTTCTTTTTTAAAATAATTAATATTTAATCTCTTCATTTTCCTTTTTCCACTGTTATAGAATTTTTTTTTTTAGATATCTATTTCAATATAAATGAAACTTTAAAGAAAATCAAATCATACTTTCAATAAAAACAAATAAATTTTTTGTAAACAATATAAGACTATTTTCATGGCATTTTATTGATGTACGCTTGATCAATGTGGTGATCGTGATGAAATTACAGAGTGTATTCAGTTTTCAATTATTGATTAAAGTATGATTTTATGATTTGTAGAGAGAGATAATAGTACTTCTTAATTTATTTCAAATTAAGGCAAACTTCGATGAAATTTTATTAAAAAATTTTAATATTTATTATATTTATGCTTGGATTTTAGATTATTTATTCAAAATGAATTCAATAATTGATATTTAAAAAGATTATTGTAAAATCTATTCAAATATTTATAAAAATTTCAAATTTTAAACTTAATTATAAACTTGATTTATGTATGTATATGTGTATATTGATTCTTTTGCAAGAATATGGAAAAAAATTATTTTATTTCATTTTTTGTATATTGATTCTTTTTGCAAGGAAATATTTTGGAAAAAAAATTATTTTATTCTTTTTTAGAATTTTAAACTTAATTATAAACTTGATTTATGTATGTATATGTGTATATTGATTCTTTTGCAAGAATATGGAAAAAAATTATTTTATTTCATTTTTTAGACATTAGTTAATATAATAAAATTGGTTATTTAAATTTTTGAAAATAATTATTAATTATAATAAAAATAGAATTTTTATTTTTAAACATTATATAACGTCCGCATGCAAAGCACACAGAGACCAGTAGTTTTTGTTTAAATATAAAGTGTATTAATTAAACCAAACTTGAAAGTTGAATCATTTTTTCCCATTTTTTTATATGTGACGAACTGATGGGTGCAATCTTGAAATTCTAATGGTTTTATTTATCATTCTCATTATAATTAATCAAGTAATTAATAAAATATAACTTAATTACAAGATGTGCAATAATGCTTAATCTATACATGCATATAGCGCAAAAATGTAAATTTATAATAATACTCCATTTTTTTCCACTTTAATAACAATAAACAGGAAGTTTACCTTATTCTACTTTAAGTGCTCATTTATAATTTTCAGATTATATTAATTATTTTTTCAAGTTTACCCATATTAATTTATTTATTTAAATTTTTTTAATTTTTATGAAAAGAGTAAACGTTGCTATTAAAGTGGAACGGAGAGAATATCATTTTCTTTTCTCTAAAATTTGAGTTTTCTATAGATGAAAAAATAACACTACGATCCATTCTTATTTTCCCCTTTATTTTTTTTCATCTATTTTCCAAACATAGCGTAAAATTAAGGGAAATCAAAGTGCAAGAAACCATTTTCTAACACTTTCACACCAACTAACAACCCTAGAAATTTCTACTCAATCAAACCAAACCAATAAATCGAACCAGACCACGATATTATCCAATCATTATAGGAGAGAGAAAGAGAAAAGGCCCCAAAATCCTTCCCTCCCCCGATCGAGTCTTTGTTTCCTCTGCAGCGCCACCGTCTTCTCCGTCTTGTTTTCGGCCTCCGGCAAGTTCGAGCAGGCGGGGCTGGCATCAAACTGCTCCTCTCTTGATGCTGAGTCATAATCTGGCCATCCTTTGGCCGATCGGTGCACCATAAGAATGGATTGAAGCTTATAAGATTCGGCTGTTTTTCCCCTCTTCGTATTCCGGCGAGTTTGAGTTTTGTGATTAAGAGAAGTTGTTGTGGGTGTTTCTTTGAACGGCAACGTCTTCCTTTTTATAAATTATATTTTCTTTCAAGCGGAGAATTCACGACCAAGGGCCCCAAGAGGGAGACAAGATTCAACTCACGAGCGTGACAATTTTTCTTGTCGTTAAATTTAACGGACCAAACTTACCCCTTACGTTAAAAAGTCTGGTTGAAAAAGTTTAAGCGTGCTTTGCCCGTTAAAGCTAACGGAATTATCGAAAGCTTTGCAATTATTGTCGTCGTGTTCACTCCAACTTAAAAACAATAGCACCAACAGAACTCTTTCTCCGAAACTTCAACGGAATCTCGCTGGCAATTTTTACCCGCCTGGGTTCGTACGGTCGGTTTAAAGATTTGGGACCTAAGTAACCACAGATTTGTTTATAGGTAATTATTTGGTTTTTGGGTTTGGGTTCTTTTCTTTCTAAGATTATATAATTATACAGATACTACATATATACTAAGTTTAGCTCTAAAGATTGAACTTTTATACCATCAACTACGTTTTTTTTTTAACTTTCCTTTTACTGAGTTTTTCTTGGAATATTTTAATGGAAAATTATTGTATATTTTATTTATTTTTGGTTCAGAGTTTCTTTTATTAAGGACAAAACTAAACCTACTTCAAGTGTTATATTCAAGAGTTAGACTAGAGAGAGCAGCTATATTTAAGACTTCCATGTGCTTCACCAATTAGATCCGTAACTTTCAGTCTGTGTTTTTAATATTTTATGGCCGTAAGAAAAGTTTTTCATGGTGGAATTTAATGAAGCGAGCTAGGGTTAACAGTTGCTGACGTGAATTATAATTAATTTTATATATGTACATTATTTATATGCAAGAAAGGAGTTATCAGTTCTGGTTTTATTGTTGTGCTCCAGTTGTTTCATATTTATCTCTGCCATAAACTGGAAGATTTTTTTCCCTGTTTGCTCTGGTGGGTAAAACTTCTAGAGAGTGTTCATTATCATTTGACGAAAGCAAACAAATTTTTGTACTAAATTCCAGAGAAGGCAAGCTTTCTCTTTCTCTCTTTCTATATAAATATATATTGTTAGTTATTTTTTTGTTTTTGTTGTTTTCATCTCGTCTTTCAAGATTCGTGTCACCTTCTTCTTCTTCTTCTTCTTCTTACATTGTAACATGCATTACTACTGGGTTCTCTTGGCTTTTACTCTTACCTATGGAACTGATTGATGTTATTATTGTATTTAAATCTATATTTAGATCCGTGTTTGATCATTTTATATTTTATTTAAATATGAACTTTTCTTTTAACAGGTAGAGAAATGACATGACTTGGTTTGATTGGTACTCGGAAGATTTTATTTTCTTGTGTTCTCTGGTGTAGATGGAGGGTAGAAGTTTCAGGCAAGAATCACATGTAGCACAGCAAAGCAGAAGAGATAAGCTAAGACTAGTTGAACAAAGCTCAAGAACTTGGTTAGTTGATAATCACCATGTGTTTCCTAACAATTTGGAACAGTTGTCGGTCCATTTGAGGCTAAACCCAGATCTTATCCAGGTTCGAAACGTTGGGAATGATAATTTGCATCGTTACAGTCCTAGTACTAGTGTTTTCTCATCTGAAATGCTAAAATTTTCAACTAGTTGTTGTAACGGTGTTTTACCAGTTGAAAAGAATGCAATTTTTGATCAAGAACTTGGTTTGGTACAATCAAATACTGCATTATTATTCACAAATATGTCTAATCCTATTAATTCAACTAAAGCTAGTAGTAGTAATGACCCACATGCCTGTAGTAGCAGCAGTCATTGGAGAAGCATTGATTCTCAACAAAGTTATGATTGGATGGTGAATTATGCAAGTGGATTATCAGTAGGTAGGGAAAGCAATAATCAAAAACCTATTTTTGTTGGGGATGTCTTGTCAAATAATGCAAAAGAAAACAATATTTCAAGAAATGTTGGATACGATCAAGATTTTCATTTATCCTCTAATATTCCTTCTCAAGATTGTCAGAAGCAGCAACAATTTACTTCTCATGTGCATTATTCATCAATGTACCCAAATACTCTTCAAGATGTTGTTGCTGCTCAACCTTCTGCTTTGTTTTTTGAAAATGCGAATTCTTGGAGCAGTAGTGAGCAACTGGAGCTTATTGCAAGAAAGAGTGATCAAGAAGGTCTATCTTTGACTCTTGCATCAAATCCACCGGCTAGAGCGAATGTTAATCACTTTGGTGAGGGATACGAGTCTAATAATCAAGATTCAAGATATTATTTGTGTCCAATTTCAAAACCAGAAATTAGCAATAGAGAATGTGGAAAATCAGTTAATTATTCTTCGAATTACGTACTTCGGAATGCTGGTCCTCTTGGTCCTTTTACAGGATATGCAACTATTTTAAAGAGTTCTAGATTCTTGAAGCCTGCTCAAGATCTTCTATTGGATGAGTTCTGTACTATAACAGGTTCAAAACTCATTACAACATCTGGAGAAGTTTGTAATTTAGCTTCTGTGGATGTTGTTAATGCAACTAAGGCAGAGACTAGTCCTCCTAAAGTCGATAATAATAACAATAATAACAACCAGAATTCTGTTGTCTCATCATCGACATTTTATAGCTCGAATGAAGTGAATGGTGATGTTGGTGTTGCGAGCAGTTCTTGTGAATCTGATAAGCCGGAGTATCAGCAAAAGAAGGCAAAGCTTCTATTTTTGCAAGAGGAGGTTGGTTATGCTTTACTTTGATCTTAATTATATTTGCTTAATTATCTTTAGTTACTAGAAACTAAATGATTATTCTAGAAATCTTTTTTCTTACCCTTTTGCTTTTATGGTGAAAGAATATTGACAGAAAAACAATAATGATGCTTTGTTATTGGAATCTCTCTGGCATAACTTTGTTTTAGATTATCAGTTGCATGGTTTTAAAATCATTTACTGTTAATTTCTAATAAAGGAGCTAAATGAAGTATTTCCTTTGAAAGGCCTCACTTCAAAACAAATGTGGAATTAAGGTGTGTAACTGTGACAGTGAATTAGTATGAATTGGAGATTGCTACTAGTTGATGTTTAATAAATCATATGATCATCGTGTGATTCATTTGCATGCTTAAGATCCAAATTTGTGAATTTCAATATTAAAAATAAACCAAGTACCAACTTTTTTAAATAAATTGAGATGGAAGGTGGACATGTAGTTGCAAGAGGAGCAAGTTACCAAGTGTAGCTGATCCAAATAAAAAAAAATGTAGTTGCTCAAATATGTCCAGTTGTTAAGGGAGGAAAGTCTTTATAGTCAACATTATGATGAAGCTCAAATTTAAGAGAATGATTCAAATGTTATTTCGTTGTCCATTGACTTGTCTCAATTATTTTTTTTATACATTAATAATCTCAAAATTTGCTGGATGGAGACGGATTCAAACCCCCGGGGTTCCTTTTAATACTCCGGTTTTCAAAACTGACACTTTCAACTTCTCAGACATCCTTCCTTTTTAATACTTCAAAATCAAATATTAGTCTATTTGAGCCAAAGAATTCACTCAAATAAAGTTGATCACAAGTTTATGCCTTACTGTAGATTTACTTGCAATTTGTAAGGATTCTCATCTTGTCAACTTGTGTTTGTCTTAGTGCAACTTATGGATATAAAAGATTGTTGAAGTCTACCTACCATAAGGATTGATATTTAGAAATATCAAGTATATTAGAACAAGGTCTAAATTCCTTTTTAGGTTCTAAACTTATCACCTTGTCCACTCTTAATAAGCTCTTTAAAGTTTGTCTGCCCTCAAAATTAGTCCCTATGCCTTAACTATGTATTTAATGATACTGAAACCATAACCACAATTAGCTGCTAAGAGTGGACCAAGGCATGTATAATTGAGAGGGAATATATATAGGTTTATGACTGCTTTTTGTGTGATTAAGAAAGTTAGGAAATGCCTAATGTCAATTAATTAGTAGTGTTATCAAATAGAAAATTGAATCTTTCTGTGACTGTTACTTTCCCCCCTTTTCATTCTTGCATAGAACTTATCAATGTAAAAGAGACAAAGTAAGCATATATACATGTGTGTGCATGTAATTGATTTTTTGTGCATTTTATCCTCATTTAATAAACTTATCAATTGCTAGAGAATAATCAATTGGAAAAATATCGTTTGAATATTCTTATCCCTTCAGGAACAGCCATGCATACCTGGATTGTTTGAGTAGTTTTTGCATAATTAAATCTTATAGTTCTTTTGTAGTTTATTTAGTAGTTTTAGATTGTTTGAGTTGTCATAATTAAAGCTTGAGCACACCCTTCATTGCTTATTCATAGGAATTTCAGTCTCCATATGAAATCTTTGCATTAGTGGGTCGAAGGATCATTCAGCACTTGTCCAAGTTAAATTCGCTCAAAGCACTCTTATAATTAGTCTTTTCAACTCAATTATTTTGGAGATTTTGATTTCCTAATGTGCTACATGTATACATAAATAAATAAGGTGGGTAGATTGCGCCTAGTGCTTTCAGTATTCAAATTACTTGAATTACATAAAATCCAAGGATGAATTCAAATATCTTGTGAAACTTTGCTTGTTTGACCTACATATTGTTCTTTATATACTGCTCTTTTATATTCATGATTAATTTTCATTTTGCTGCTTTGAAAACAAAAATTCAAGAATATGAATCTTAATAGACCTTTTAATTGTTGCTCGAATTCAAGTCTGATAAATTTCTTTTAGGTTAAACCATCTATATTTCACATACGGTAGTGGAAAAGGTTCCATGATTGCTGCCTGTCAATACTCTGCAATAATAGTGAATTGGTCAATATTATAATTAAGGGAACAAGAACAGGACTTTGATGGCCCACTCTGTCATTTAAGATTACTAAAGATGGAATTGTTCATGTGAAAACTATCATTTATATAAACCTCTAACGAGGTAATGGGGACCCCCTACTCTTGTACAAAGTCCTGCGAATCACATATCCCTATTAATAGTACTCACCACTTGCTAGTTGTTCTAAACTAACTACTACTTTATGCAAGTTCAAGACCCAAAAAATGTGTCCCTATAATGACACCATTATTGGTATGAAAAGAATAGGTGATATATGTATATATTGATATACCTCGAGAGATGAATACCATCTCAACTTGCCTGAAAATGTCGTATTGTTGATTTCCCAATGTAGCTAGTTTTAGTGCTTCCGCAGTGGGATTGCTTTTTGTCAACCTGACTTCTAACATTTAATTGTCGGATTATCATGATAAATCTATTCTTTTCAAGATCTCTTTTGGGGATAATTTTAATTGTAGCTTTTGATGAAGTATGGTTATAGTAATAATAGTTTGGTTACTTGACTCTATTGTATGCTATGTGGTTGAAAGGTGTGCGGAAGATACAAGCAATATGATCAGCAGATGCAAATGGTAGCTTCATCTTTTGAATCAGTAGCAGGTCTAAGTGCTGCTACACCGTACCTTTCTTTGGCTTTCAATTCAGTGTCAAGAAACTTTAAGTGTCTAAAACGTGCTATATCAGATCAGCTTAGGCATGTAGCCAAGGCGTTAGGGGAGGATTTCTTGTCCCCCAATACAGGTGCTAGTAGTACTAGAGGTGATACAAGCACATCAAGGATGAGATATATAGATCAAAGCTTTCAGAGGCACAAATCTGGTGGGGCTAATGTGGCATACTTTGAACCCCAACAACATGTCTGGCGGCCCCAACGAGGCCTACCAGAACGTTCAGTGACGATTCTTAGAGCTTGGCTGTTTGATCACTTCCTTCATCCGTGAGTGCCACACACGTCCTTTCTATCTCATTTTGTAGTTGGTGTATGCATATAATTGAATTTGACCCTTTTATGTTATAGATACCCCACGGACACGGATAAGCACATGTTAGCCACTCAAACTGGTCTGTCCCGTAACCAGGCAAGTGATCCCTTGAATCAGTAGATGTTGTCTTTCTCATTTTGAGATGCTTTAAGCACGCGAGTCCGGTCAAAGTTGCATTAATTAACATATTCCTTATATATACTTGAATTGTCAATTTTCTTGCCTTTTAAGAGTTCCTGAAGTTGAATACGATGCACATAATAACTGTTGTTGATTATTGTACATAATCTTGTTAGATTTTGGCTCTATGGTTTATAAAATTTTTTTGTCCAACATGGAATTGATCGAGAAACCAACTCATTACCAGAGAAACCAACATGTTTGCTTTTAAGAAATCTTTAAGTTGAATATGATGTTCACCAAGTTTTAAAATTCAATGTCTCGGTTTCAAGCATAATTGTATGTTGACATAATTTAGCAGTAACAAGATATTGATAGAGAAATTAATAAACCTGCGTATTTTTCTATTATGGTTTTCTTAATAAATTGACTGGTTAGTGTAGGTCTCAAATTGGTTTATAAATGCTCGTGTCCGCGTTTGGAAACCAATGGTTGAAGAAATACACATGCTTGAAACAAAAGGATTGGCGGAAACCAATCAGACTTTTATGAATGATGTTGATGGAAAATCTACTGATGGCAGTACCAGTCAGCCAGACCGTGAGCAACCCTCGAATAATGTTGCTGCTAGTTGTACTGTTAATAAGCAGTTGAAATGCTCAGGAGGAGTAAATGCTGAGCAATGGAATCAAAAGAAAAGAGCGAGAGTAGAGTTGCAAGTCCCAACTAGCATGGACGGAGCAGTAATGAATTTTTTGCCATATCAAAGAAGTGGAATTGAAATTGGAGGAATTGGAGCTGTTTCACTCACATTGGGTCTAAGGCACGGCGTAGAAAATGCCCAGCAACAGCACACGCAGCTGCAGCAACATGAGAATCAACTTAGGCTGCGATTTGGAGGTCAGATGATTCATGATTTTGTGGGTTGATTTTTATAGTACATGTTCTTTTTATCTTTGAATGGAAGCAGAAAGTGAATGAGAAATTAGAAAAAAAAAAGCTCATTATATATATATATATATATATCACCAATGTTATCTTTGCATTGGCTAGGAAAAATTGGTCTCTTTCAATGATAACTTACATTGTTTGAGGCTTTAATTTGTTTTGTATATTATACATATGTTTCCCTTACTAATGCATATGGTAGCAGATATGGTAAAGAATGTTCTTTATTATCTTTGAATGGAAGCAAAAGTGAATGAGAAATTAAGAAAAAAAAAGCCTCAATTGTATAGTATATAATTATATATAGTATATCGACCAATGTTATCTTTGCACTCTCGCGCTCTGGAAAAATTGGTCCTCTTTCAATGATAACTTTACATGTTTGACTTGTTGTAGTTTGTAAGTATTAATACATATTGTTCCCTTACTAATGCAATATGGTGCAGATATATAGTATACTATATAGTATATATTACTAATATAATTTATGCCAGACATTTTCTTTCATCTATATATGCCAGACATTTTTTTCATCAAACAAAGACTGTTTTGAAAACTTTCATTAAACAAGGACTTAAACTGCATCACTATACACACACATATATATCCATTACTAGTATGCAAAAATCCTAAATCAGCAGTTTTTTATGCTTCTTAATGTATGATTGTTGTTCGGCTGGCAATTAAATGTATGATTTTAACATCAGCAATCACTTTGAAAAATGTTGATGCTTCAAAATTTAAGATATTGTTCAATAATTATACGAGTTTAAATTTTCATTTTTTTTTAGATTATGTTCAATAATTATACGTGTTTAAATTTTCATTTTTTTTTTAAGATTATGCTCAATTTTATTTTCAGGTAGTATTTAATGGACAATCTTTTTTCTCCACTTAAGTGCATTGCTCTTGAATTATTTGCCGAAAATTAAAGTACATAATTTTTAATTAATTAATAAATAATATTACACTAATATTCGTTCATTTTATTTCTATTTTTCATTTTTTTAAAATTTCTATTTTCTTTTTGAATAGAAAACAAAATTTAATTTTTTTAATGATTTTCTTTCCTTTTAAATATAAAATAAGCCAAAATGAAGTGAAATAAATGAATTAAGAAAACTGATAAAATAAAAAAGAAATATGTTAGAAATAAATGAAGTGAAAGAGGGGTGTAATAATTTATTTTGATATTTGGCAAAAAAATTCTAGTAAGATATATCAAATTGTAAAAACAAATTGTCAATTAAGACAATTAATTTGTAAAATATGAAATTAAGGCACTGAAATAGAAATATGTGACTTTCTAGTTATGGAGGATATTAAAATTTTTCCGTATCTGCTTTGTCTATGAAAATCAAATGAATAAATTATTATTTGCTCGCTGAAATTTGATTTCATATACTAATCCGTTTTTTATGGTTTCAAAAAAGTGTTATTGAATTTGTTATTTCTAATATTGGTGAATGTTATTCAAAGGGGAGCTACCTATATTATGCAACCAGCAATATTATTTCGGTCCATTGACCATCATTTATTAAAAAAAATTATTATTGAATTTTAAAATTTTTTTAAAAATTAACTATTTATATTTTAGACTTATTAAAGTTATTCTAATAATAATTCTAATCATTTAATTACAAATACAAAGTTAAAAAAACGTCCTCATAAAAAAAGTATGATCTATCAACGAACCGAATAAAAAGTTTTTTAATTTCTCTATTAAAATCTAAATAAAAATAATATATTTAATATCAAACCAAACTAAATAAAATTATGTAATCAATGTAAACCCGGAAAGAATTGGGTTTTCTATATATCTCGTATTGAATAATACAACTCTATTTATACAACTCTGTATATAGAGTAGTTACAAAGGATAACTATAAGAGTCTCCTTGCGATATTGAAGTAATAACAACTCTATTTTATAAGCAATAATACAACTCTATTTATACAACTCTGTATATAGAGTAGTTACAAAGGATAACTATAAGAGTGTAAGACTATCATTAGAATACAACTACATACAGCTATTTAGTAATAAATAATATAACTAATATTATCTGTAACAGCCCCCTTCAAGCTGAACGGCAGGAGACTGCAGTCAAAGCTTGCATGAGTGAGATACAAATAGTTGCTACTCCAAAGGTTTGGTCATGATATCTGCGATTTGCTCTGCACTTTTAAGAAACCGAATAGAAACAATGCTAAGCCGTATCTGATCTCGAATAAAATGGTAATCAATTTCAACATGCTTTGTTCGAGCATGAAAAATAGGATTTGAAGTAAGATAGATAGCACTAACATTATCGCACCATAAAGTTGCAGATGCTGCAGGACAACATGCTTTGTTCGAGCATGAAAAATAGGATTTGAAGTAAGATAGATAGCACTAACATTATCGCACCATAAAGTTGCAGATGCTGCAGGAGCATATCCAATCTCACGTAAAAGAGTAGTAATCCACATTATCTCAACAGTGGCATTTGCAATAGCTTTATATTCACTTTCTGTACTTGAGCGTGCTACCGTTGGCTGCTTCTTACTAGACCAGGAGATTAAATTGTCACCAAAATAAACTAGATAGCCTCCTGTTGACCGGCGATCATTAGGACAACTAGCCCAGTCACTATCTGAATAACATTGAAGTGAGAATGTTGATGAAGGACGAAGCAAAAGACCTTGAGTGGCTGTACCATTAAGATAACGTAGCAGTCTTTTGCATGCTTGCCTTGCATGCTTGCCAATGAACATCTGTAGCGCAACGTAAAAATTGAGCTAATTTGTTAACCGCAAAGGCAATGTCCGGTCTAGTAAGAGTTAAGTACTGTAGAGCCCCGACCACTTGTCGATACTCTGTCATAGAATCCAATAAAGTTCCTGTTTGTTTATTGAGATTTGGTGTAGTTGCCATAAGTGTAGCATAGGACTTGGAGTCTTCCATTTGTGTTGCTTGTAATATTTCAGAGAGATATTTGCTTTGAGAAAGCAATAAACCATCCGGCATCTTCGTGACCTCAGCTCAAAGGAAGTAATTTATCTCACCAAGGTCTCAAACAGGAAAGGTAGCAGCCAGCTTATGACCAAACCAATCAATGATTGAAGATTTGGTTCCCGTGACAAGAATGTGATTTGGTTCCCGTGACAAGAATGTCATCTGCATAGACAAGCACAAATAATTTATCAACTCCATTGGTGTATATAAATAAAGAATGATCAGCCTGTGTGCTGCAAAATTGAAGAGAACATAAAAATTGCTTGAGTCTTTCAAACCAGACCCGCGGTCCCTGTTTTAATCCATAAAGAGATTTCTGAAGTTTGCAAACATAATCCGGTTTAGTACTATCAACAAAGCCTTTTGGCTGCTCCATATACAAATCTTCTGTTAAAGAACACAAATCTTCTGTTAAAGAACCATGGAGGAAAGCATTTGAAATGTCTAATTGCCGCATATCCCATCCTTTTGTTACAGCGAGAGCCAAAAGAATGCGAATAGTAGTGAATTTCACAACCGGAGAGAACGTTCCTGTGTAATCAAGACCCATCTGCTGTGTAAATCCTTTCGCGACTAGACGAGCTTTGTAACGCTCAATATGCCCATTGGAGTACTGTTTGACCCGATACAACCATTTATTTTGAATAACATTCACATTTGCTAGCCGTGGCACCAATATCCAGGTTTTATTCTTTAATAATGCTGAAATTTCCTCCTGCATTGCATCACACCATTCCTGTTTATTTTTAGCTTGCAAGTAAGTTTTTGGTTCCTGAAATGAAGCAAATTGAGCAACAGAAGCATATTTTGGATTTGGTTTAGGATTTGTCCTTAAAACCATAGGATGGACCCGAATTGGAGGTGGACTGAGTGAAGCAATACCGCGAATTTGGAGGTGGACCTGAGTGAAGCAATATCAGAGACAATTCTTAAACCGGCGTGAGATTGCAGATTGTGGTGTAATTTTTGGCAGAATTTATGAGAAATATAATTGGAGGAATTATGAGAAAATAATGGAGATTGAATTGGAGTGTGTGGGGAAGATGGAGTAGAAGAGAAGGATATACCTGATGAAGGCGTTGGTGAAGATGGCGCTGTACAAGTAACTTGAAGCCATGTGGGATCAACCTGCGGTTCTTGTATACTTCTTGACACAGTCATCTTGGCATAAGGAAATTCATTAGTCACAAACCGAACATGTTTCGCCAAATACACTCGTCTTGTTCTAAAATCCAGACATTTATAGGCAGAATGAAAAGGACTTTGCCCAAGATATACACATTCATCAGATCTGTAACTAAATTTATGATTATTGTAGGGTCGCAATAATGGGAAGACACTACATCCAAAAGGTTGAAAGGACAAGGTTGAAAAGGACAAAATAGTTGGATCCCTTGGAGAAATAATTTAAAAGAAGGGTGAAATTTTTTGTGCAAAACATCAGAAGTGCAAGAGTGTTAATTTGCAAAACATCAGAAGGCAAGGTGTTAATTAACATAGCACTTTGTTCAATAGCAAAATTCTAGTATTTCAAAGGTAACGAAGCATGAGCTAAAAGGGTGAGACTAGTATCTACAAGATGTCGAATTTTCCTCTCAGCTGTACCATTTTGCTCATGAGTGTATGGGCAGGCAATCCTATGAACAATACCAATAGCCTTTAAATACCGATTTAAAGGTTGATATTCACCCCCCCCAGTCTGAATGAAAAGCCAAAATAGGCATCCCAAATTGACGTTTGATTAGCTGCTCAAACTGAAGAAAAATGTCATATACCTCACTTTTATTTCTCATGAAATAAACCCATGTAAAACGAGTAAAGTCATCAATAAAAAGAACAAAATTAAAAAGAACAAAATATCGAATGTCCGGCAATACTAGATTGGTACAGGTGCAGGTACGCGCGCATACAATCTGAAATAACAATATCAAAAATGGTTTTTCGGACTTGGTATGTTTCTTTAGAAAAACCAAAAGACATACGAGACAATTTGCTCTAAAGCGACAACTAGAACAAGGACTCATCTGCAGATCAAAAACTTGAAATTTTTAATTCCTGCCTTAAACTAAATCATAACAATTTTGAAAGTTTTCCGGGATGCCCCAAACCGGCCAGATTGCAGAATCATTCCATGGAAGGAAGCCTGCTGACAACTTTGATTTGCCATGGGGGATGCGGTCCGAGTTGAG